TGTGATGGGAAAGCAGCATTTATTGCGTTCTTTACTACTGAACTGTGCGTTCCTTATTTCTGCACTCTGTGCGTTCCTTACTTCTGCACTCTGTGCGTTCCTTACTTCTGCCCTCTTCACTCTGTGAGTTCCTTACTTCTGCCCTCTGCACTCTGTGCGTCCCTTACTTTGGACCTCTGCACTCCGTGTGTTCCTTACTTCTGCCCTATGCACTCTGTGCGTCCCTTACTTCAGACCTCTGCACTCTGTGTGTCCCTAACTTCGGACCTCTGCACTCTGTGCATCCCTTATTTTGGACCTCTGCGTTCCTTACTTCGGACCTCTGCGTTCCTTACTTCGGACCTCTACACTCTGTGTGTTGCTTAATTCGGGCCTCTGCACTCTGTGCGTTCCTTACTTTGGACCTCTGCACTCTGTGCGTTACTTCCATAGGGTCAGGGTTTTGTGTATAGTTATATGTAGAATTTAGATATGAGACAGAAATGGCTGCTGGAATTAAAAACGATTGTCTTAAAATATGCAATTTATGCAGTTCATTTTTAATTATTGTTTGCATTTTATTTAATTATGGGTGTAAGTGGTGACCTCACGTTTTGAGTTTTGCCTAAGGCCTCACAAAGTCTAGAGCCGCCTCTGCGTGATTTCCACAGGCTGCAAACATCCTGTTACCCTATAAGCAGGGGCGTATCTGCCGCGAGGCAAACAAGGCATTTGCCAGCTAGCCCTCAATATGTTTTTTTTTTTTTTACTATTTGAGCCCAGATTCTATGTGAAAGGAACATCTGCCATTATCAGAAAAATAAATAATACCCAAATCCACCAATGAGCTCAACCCCCTCTCTCTGATGCTGGCAGAAGTGATACAGCGCGCAACTGTTACTGTTTAAACAGGCGCTCGCTGTATCCAGCTAATAGCACAACCTGTCAGAGGTTGGAAACAGCATGCGCACTGTATTCAGCATCTGACAGGTTACGCATAATGTCCTAAACCGGAAGGGGCGGGGCAAACTTAGATTGGGGGCGCCCGAGTTTAGTCTTGCCTAGGGCAGCACAAAACCTAAATACACCACTGCCTATAAGGTAAAAGACAGGAGAAGGTGGACCTGCTGCTCAGGCCAGAAGGTAAAAGACAAAAGTGGTTTCCACAAGGAGCAACCTATCCTCTTGCCATGAGGATAAATATGAAGGTGGTTACCACAGAACACAAACACCCCTTATACCCAGAGGTATGAAATGAATGAAGTTACTTCCATAAATTATTCTAATAGGGAAAAGATGGGTGTGCTTACTCCCCTCATCTCACTATAGGAAGGGACAAGGATGGCTCATTGCCCATGAAGAAAAGAATCAAAGTGGCTTACACAAAGGGCAGCTGGCCATCATATTACAGACAAGGGAAAATCAGAAGCTATGGTGGCTCCCACATGGTGCAAACAAGCTTGATTCAACCCGTGGAGGACAAGACAGGGGAGAGGGATTGTATCCCACACTATTGCTAGCAAATATAAAAAAAGCCACCTCATTATACTATGGGGGAGGGTAGTGGCAGCTCTCACAAAGGGCGCAAGCCCCTCATTCCACTAAGAAGGGAGAAGATTCCTGCAGTGTGCAACCACCCCACGATCACATCAACAAAGGAAAAAATTGGGGGACACTGTGATGGCAGCACCCATGGGGCAACATCAATTCTTTATCCCACACATCCCAACGTTGTATCATGTACAATTGTAATGCTACAAGCAACACGCTGATATTTCTAAATGGGGATACATTTTTTGGGCCTCATTTTTGAAGCCATAAAAAGTTACAAAGAGTGGCAAAAAACAAGACATAACAAGGAACAAGGTATATTCTGCAGAATTTTGATTCACTAGTGTAATGCAAATGATGGCTAACTTACCTACTTATTTCTCATAGCAGGTTGAAATATACTGCGTAGTTCAAGAATTCAAGGAATTCAACACTTCTAATCTTGTAGTCATACTGTTTACAGTAGTAAGAATTTTAAACTGATATAGCCGTTTTCGTTGCTGGCTGGGCCTCTTTGCTGGCAAATGAAGCAACATGGATACCTTAAAAATACTGAAGATTTGCCAAATTCAGCATGACGTAAAAGTAATAAACAGGACAGTCTAGCCCTAGATATTAGGGGATTCATTTTTATGGCAACTACAAAAAATATAGAAAGTAAACAATGTTCAGGCACAAAATAACAATATATTATATAATGATTTGCTTCAGTGTTATAACCTCAAATTACTCACTGGAGGGACAGACAGTAAAGGGGACGGGCACAGCTGGCTCTGGCTCTAGAGAGGCAGCGACTGTTTCCTTTTAAATGCAGTGAATGTTCAGGTATTCATGTCGCTACGGGTGCTGCAGATGCTTCAATACTAAAGCTGGCAAAAGTAATTCCTCCTTCCACGTTGTTAAGTGTGAATAGTGGAATCTATGGATTGTTTTAGGAGAGAAGTTTGCTAAACACCTTATAAAGTTAACTGGTTTGGAGATCATTTGTTTTTTTACCAAAAGTGGAGCTACATTTTAAGACTCAAAATATTTCAACGGGTGTCAGCGTTTTTTTTTTTTTTATATTAGTATAAAAAAAAGTAGTAAAAATAGTGCAGGTTACCCTGAGTGACGTGACTGTACACTGCACCCCTTACATATTTACTACACTTGGTTATTGTTTAATTTTCCTGTGACTAGAATACATTTCTTAGGTAAATATTAGTTTATACTGGCCAGAGAATGAGACTAGTAATGCCTATCTGATTTATAAACAGTACGGTATAAGAGAATTTGCAAAGTACTGAAAAACAGGGATGTTTACAGGAACTTTCAGGGAAATTGTAAATGCCAAATTTCTTTTTACAGAAACAAAATCCATTATATAGGATATAGGATAAAAGAAAAAATATATATTTATAATAATTGCCTTTTTAGCAAACTAATTGCATTAGAAAATGAATTGTCATTCAGTTATTTTATGTCTATTTTAAGAAATATTTGACACTATACTGGTAATATCTGCTTATGACTTATGTTTATGCTCATTTCAGGGCAGAGTGAATCTTTGAGTACTTTCAGCTTTAGTGACCAGGCACCAGTATCTCATCCACACAATTTTAAAGAACGTCTGTTAATTTACATACAATAAACAAGATTTCACAGGGCTAGCAATAGACAGGCAGACATCTATCTGTCTATTTAGATCCTTGCATGACTCACTGAGACCTCCTACAATCCTGAAAGCAAGTTGGAAAATCTGCTTTTGCAATAATGATTGCCTACATCTGCCATAGATGCTCAATATCGCCCTCTTGCCCTTCAGAAATGGCCTGATAAAATGAATGATGCTCAAAATCAGAAGCATTGCTTGCTGTACTTAAAGCAGAACTATGGGGTTAAGTATTTTCCCCATAGTTCTCCTTGGGGTAACGGGAGGACACAAACTAGCGTCCTCCCGTCACCCAAGGCTCAGTATACCGCGAGCTGTAGCTTGCGTTATACTGAGACGCCGCAGTATACCGCGAGCTGCTGCTTGCGGTATACTGAGACGCCGCACCTGAAGCGGATCCCAACAATTGTGTCGGGATCTGCCCAGCTGCGTGACTGACAGCTGGCTCTGCCTATCTAGAGGCAGAGCCAGCTGTACCCGCCCCTCCCCCGTCCAATCCACCAGTCAGCGCTAGCTGATATATATATATATGTCTGTAATGAAGTCAGGCTGCATACATAGTAATAAATATTCACTGTTTTAGGTGTAATTAGCTGCTAAGTCCTGCAACAAGGGTGAAAACACTCTTTGCTGGAAACACGTTGGAGGGTCAGACCACTGCTCTCACACAGAGTGTCGCAGCACTAATATCCAGCAGCCCGACACCCTCCCCTTGCCCGCCTGCACACTGCTCCAATCAAGAGCATTGCTCAGAAAGCGAGAGCGCTGTTGATTACAGCTGTGTGCAGGGATTTGTATTGGACCGCTGCAGACCCAAGCTGCTGTTTGTGTGTGAGAGCAGCAGTCTTGCTACCAGCACAAGGTATTTTGACCCTTGCTATGTCACATAGCAGCTAAAATAACCTAAAATAGCAGCATATTTATAGTACTCAGGGCCGGATTGCCCACAAGGCCACCAAGGCCATGACCTCGGGGATGCCGGGAGTAGAGGGGTGGCACGGCCCATGGTGGACACTTATAACTACAGGGAGCAGGAAATCAAGCCGCAGATAGAAATATAAATCACGGTATAAGCGGGGATGGATGCAGTACATAAGGATGACTGCTGCCCCCACTCTCTCTTACTTGTCTTTCGGAACCTTGTGTAACTTTCTCGTGTGAACCACCTACAAACCACCCGGTGTTTTTGGCATAACCCATGTCTGTGCTCTCTGATTGGCCAGCTAGAAGAGTCTCCCACCTCCAAGTGTTCCATTTCCATGGCAACCATCTTCCTCCAGTAGCGGCAGAGCTATTTACAAGGGTTTCTGAGTACCCAGCAATGGCTTCCTGTATGCTTCATTATAAAGCAAGGAGTAGAGGGGCGGCACTGTCGGATAAGAGCCCCTCTTATTGACAGTGCTATACCTGCGGCATTTAGATCTCTGTATAGTAATTAACCATTGGTCATTTTAGTAGCATGGCTAAGCAATAAAAGTGATGAAAGATGTAAAAACATCTGAGCATTCATAAAAGCTCTGTGTGTGACAATACAAGTACTTCCAATGCTGAAGAATGTTCCTTCGCACTCTCTGTAGTTAACCCTACAAAGCTCCACTGACTAAAGTGACACATGAATCAGTCACATTGTCTTGTGTAGGGCCACCTTTAGAAAGTCTTTGCTCGATTAGAGAGCATTAGGCACTGTGTAGAAAACGGTATGCTGAGAGAGTGCCTTTGACTGATTTTTGCAATGTGGAAAATACGCTGTCGGTAGTTTATTACACAATTGTGTGCTTTTGGCCTGTGGGAGGAGGCGAGGACAAAGTGGCTGATTTGTCCAGCTACTTCCTTAAATACTGCAAACACAGAAGCCTTTTCTTTCTTCCTCTCTGCCTGTTACTTCCCTGTTTTCATACACACAGTAAAAACTACAAGCTCCAGTGCTGCTAGCACGACTTTCAAATATCGCATTGTATAGAAGTAACTATTCACCATGAATCAGCTACCTGAGGACATTAAGAACATTATAGCAGGTAACTGATGAAGGGTGGGGCTTACCGGGTCCGTGCTTTACAGACTATAGCATTGCTTCTCTTTCACGTACACTCTTTTCTACTTCCTTCCACAATACACACTGTTATAGCCAATGGCTTTCTCAACATTTTGAACATGCACTGTTTTTAGTGTCAGTGTATAACATGTTACACTTTTTTAGTGTCAATTTTAATTATTGTTATAAGATCATTGCTATAATGGGGTAAACGAAATTAGTATATTTTAGGTGTGATATACAGCACCTGTCAGCAATCATTATATAATTTTACTAGCAAAAGTATGTGTATGTTTCTATGTGCCTCAATATATGCACACATCACCTCACATGTTCATATGATGATCAGGAATGTGTCGGTGATTGGCTATAGGTGCCTAAGTACATTCCTTGTTCAGTGTCATCACTGATTGCCTCAGCTGCTAGCTTGCATCCAACCTTAGTGGTACTGTTACTGCTTGAAGTGGTCTGATTGGGTGGAGGAGGTTTTTGACTGCATGATGTGTCAGGTTGGGGGAATCTGTAGATGTATTACAGGGTCTGACGGGGAGGGGTAATGATGGCGTGAATCTGTGGAAGCATGAAACAGTCTGCTGAGAGGTCTGTGGCTAAATGAGCAGAAGACGGTTGGAGAAGGTCTATTGCTGGATTAGGGGGTCTTTCCCAGGAGGTCTCTGGTTCTTTTTAACTTTTGACAGTCCACACAGACAATACGAGCGTGTGGCCCCCCCTCACCTCCTGCACCATGCTAGGCCCCATGCCCTCAACACTGGGGAGAGTACTTTGCCGGGGGGACCCCCTGGAAAAGCGCCTTGTCCCCATGTCGATGAGGACAAGGACCTCCTCCCCACAACTCTGGCTCGGTGGTTGTGGGGGTCTACGGCGGGGGGGCTGATCTGTATCTGTCTTCCCCCTTTTTATAAAGGGGGCACCCAGATGCCATCCCCCCCTCGTGAATGAGTAAGAGGTTAGTTGCTATCCTTACTCATTCATAAAATAAACAGTCAAATTGTAAATAAACACACCACACCGTATACAAAGTCCTTTATTAAAAAAAAAAAACCTACAGCACAGGTATTTGACAATTCCTTTATTAAAAATAAGTCATTATGATAGCTCTGCTTCCGAATAGCATTTGGGAGCTCGGGAATGCTATTCGGTTGTCCCGAATAGCATTTGGGAGCAGAGCTACTATCATTGACAGCTCATTGACATTGTTGACATTCGGGTCAGAGTTGTCATTTTCTAGTAAGAGTTCGTTGGGATCGATCGTGTTGGCAGGCGTCGGGTATTTTTTCTTTTGGCGAGTCGGCAGCTGTCGTCCATCGTGATTAATGAGGATCTACATCTCTGGACGCCATGATTGACCTTTGGATTACATTGATGGACACTTTTTGGGTTTTTTTTTTTGAATAAAGAAATTGTCAAAACCTGTGTTGTGTTTTTTTCCTTTCAAATAAAGGACTTTGTATACAGTGTGGTGTGTTTATTTACAATTTGACTGTTTATTTGGTGAACGACTAGGGGTAACAACCAACCCCTTACTCATTCACGAGACAGGGCAACATCTGGGTGCCCCCTTTATGAAAAGGGGCACCCAGATAAGCCCCCCTGCCCGCAGATCCCCACAACCACCGAGGCAAGGGTTGCGGGGAAGAAGCCCATGTCTTTATCGACATGGGGACAAGTTGCTTTGGCCGGGCCCCTCCCCCCAGGAAAAGTACCCTTCCATTGTTGTAGGAATGGTATGGTGTGTGTGTGGGGGTGGGGGGGCTCGGAGGCTGCTGCTTGGATCAAGGGTCTGGTATACGATTTTAGGGGGGAACCCACACATTTAGTTTTTTTGGCATCAATTGGGAGAGGACTCAACGCTGTTTTTGTTTTATTTTATTGTTTAACAACACAAGTTCATTCTGAATGACATTTGGAGAAAATACGGATGCATCTGAAGTTTCGCTATCGGAAGATTCGGATACACTTAGATTCGCTGTTTTTCTATTTGTAAACTCGGATGCATCCAAATGTCTGAATTTCCGAAAATTCAGACGAATTTCAATTTGGAACAAAATGAATTGCACATGTCTAGTGAGAATGCAGTAGGCGGTCTTGTGGTGGTGGGGGTCAGTGACTTTATGAGGGGCCAGGTCTCTTCAAATTAACAAAGACCTATGCCACTCTTCCAGTATCAACTGTCATGGTGGATGTTAGAACTAGTTATAGCATCACTGTCACTTTGAGCTTTCAGAATAAAGTGGAAGCTCCCCCCTCCCCCACAGCAAAATTTACACTCCCTGATGAGTGGAGGACTCTAGCTCTGACTCACAGAGAGCATGTCAGACCACATCAGATAGAATACACATACAGCATAGCAGTCCAGCTGTCCTTACTGTAGCAGTGGTCTGCTGTACCATTATTATAAATGTTTAGGCCAGACAGTGTTCTAAATCTAGGTTTTATCTTCTTAATGTCTACCTGTAATGAGGTTCGCATGCAGGGGTAGAAGGCACTGGGTGCATGGGGTATTTAAATTGTATGTTTTGATACTTAGAGAGGGATTCAGTATTTGTAAAGCACACTTCTCATGAGAGAAATATGGGGGCTGCAATTTCTGATCCTCTTCAGAAAATGCTGACTACATGTGTTGATGGGTTTGTGTCATAGCATTAATTTGCCATCTGATAAAGACACTTCTAAGATCATTCAGAATTCATTGACAGGGGCAGTTGACCTTCTTGTGACCTGCATTTGACCTGCTTCCTTCTGAAGCAAACAAATGCCATCTACATAGGCCCCAAGGCCCCGTTCACACCAGGGCGCTTCCAATGAAATAAACGATCCCATACATTGTTATGGGGACCGTTCATGCGACTGTGCGGGTCCGTGCGATCCAAACTGCTTTCCGCCCGAATTGCTCCCTGACCCTTTTTTGCCACGCTGATCAGTGTGGTTTCCATACTGCTTTCAATGGAAACGCGATGTTCAGCGCGGTTTTGGGCATTTGTAATTGCTTTTTAGCGCTGAAACGCAATTAAAAACACCCAAAACTGCTCTTTTCAAATCCGTGCGGAAACCACGCTGATCCGCAACTGCCCTGATGTGAATGGGGCCTAAATGTGGCTCAGAAGTTGATGGTGTCTACTATAAAGTATAGCCTGAGAGAATAAACACAGTTTTTCGCAATGCACCAGGATGCCAAGGTCTGAATGGGCCCCTATACTTTTGAAAACAATGTTATAAGTGTAACATCATGTGCATTATGGTGCAGTGTGATGGTATTCATTTTGAATGGCACATCAACGCACTAAGGGAACGCATTTCCAATGCACACGTTTTGCGACACACCACAAAGCAAGAAAATGTGCTACTGTGCATATTGTTGCATTGCCAAAAATGGTGCATGTCCTTTTTTTTGGACCTTTTAATATAGTTACATAGTATGTGAGGTTGAATAAAGACACAGGTCCATCAGGTTTCAACCTATATGGTGTGTGTGTGTGTATGATTCTTGGAATTTCAATCACTTTGTATTTTTTGTGAACTCAGGAACTTATCCAAGTGTTTTTTGAAGCAGTTTATGTTTCTCACTGATACAACTATCTGTGGAAGTGAATTCCTCATCTTCACCACTCTCAAAGTAAAATACCCCTTACTCAGTTTACGATTATACCTCCTCTCCAATTTCTTGTCTTCCTTATGGTACTTAGTTTGAGTAGTGCGTTCCCAATACTGCAGTCCCCACTGATGAGTTTGTAAACTGTGGTCATGTCACCTCTTAAGAGCCTCTTCCCTAAGGAGAACAATCCTAATTTTTGCAGGCGTTCTTGCAAACCCTCTATGCCCCTTTTTAATTTGGTTGCCCTTCTCTGAACCTTTTCTAGTTCACGGACATTCCTCCTGAGGATTGGTGACCAGAGTTGCACCGCGTACTGAAGGTGGGGCCTTACCAGTGTTTTATAAAGGGGCAAAATTATATTTTGATCCCGTGAATACATCTCTCTTTTGATGCAAGATAATATACTACCAGTTTTATTAGCTGCAGCTTGGCATTGCATGCTATTACTGAGTCTGTGCCCTATAAGGACCCTAAGATCCTTCTCCATCTCCGTTTTCCCCCATCTCCGTTTTGCATGCATGTTCTTAACTCCCAAGGGCATGAATTTACATTTATCTAGATTAAAGCTCATCTGCCATTCTATGTCATGTTGTGATCTTATTTCCTTTATCATCTTTATTCCTTTATTATCTTTATTTGCATAACTTCTTATCTTCAGCAAACACTGACAGTGAGCTATTTATTCCAACCTCAATGTCATTTATGAACAAGATAAACAGAAATGGCCCCAAGACTGAACCCTGGGGCACTCCGCAACACCACTTTGGACCATTTAGAGAATGTGCGATTTATCCCTGGATGCGGTCCTGCAACCAATTTTCTACCCATGTACATATTGGTTCTTCAATGCCCTGTGTACTGGGTACTGTACTGTGGGTACTGTGTTAAATGCCTTTGCAAAGTCTAGAAAGACTAAATTAACTGGGGGTCCCCTGTCCACCTTACAACTTACTTCCTCATAGAATGTTAACAGATTTGTTTGGGAAGAACAGCCTTTCATAAATCCATGTTGGTTCTTGCTTATGATGCTATTCACATATGCAAACTTTTCCATATACTACCCGGACCATTATCTCAAAAACTTTACATATTACTGATGTAAAGGTGCCCATACACCTATCGGAAATCGCCCACGAATGGTCTTTCAAATGATAATCGATCAGTTGATGGGAACCCAATGATTTTTTTTACTGTAATGTACGGTCATGTTGGAAAACTTTTTTCGAATCGAACGAAAATCAAAGGACTAGTGGCGTTTTCGTACAAAACAAATCGCAACAAGAACACCGCACATGGGCAAACTAAAATCCGCTCTGTCGAACGCCTTAATTAGGTGAATTAGTATTGCTAACGAATGATTATTGAAATCT